GTCCACTGTACCGTGAAGAAAGGCATTGCTAACATCTAGTTGATGAAGAGGCCAATCACGGTTGAGTGCTAAAGAGAGGACCAGGCGCACTGTTTGTTGCTTGACCACAGGACTGAATGTCTCCTTGTAATCAATGTCATACTCCTGATGATAACCTTTTGCGACAAGACGAGCCTTGTACCTTGAAACAGATCCATCAGCATTCCGTTTAATGCGATACACCCATTTGCAACCAATCGGAGTGCGGTTCTTGGGTGGTGGAACCAAGTCCCATGTACGTTGCTCATTCAAAGCAATAAACTCCTCATCCATAGCCTGACACCAAAAACTATTACCAGAGGCTTGGCGGTAAGTGCTAGGCTCAGTGGTAGGTGGGGTAGTATCAAGGGTGGTAATGGTATAGGCTTTAGGTTTGAAAATTCCAGATTTGGCTCGGGTTTGCATGGTGTGTGTGTTTTGGGGCGGGGGTCGGTTAACCGATTGTGTGTTTTGGAGAGGAGTAGGTGACGGTTGAGGGTGGGTTGGGGTACGGTTCTGGGGTTGGACCGTCTGTGGCGTGTCCATAGGGAGGGTGTCGGGTTGTCGTCCGTGACTGGTGGGACGGGTCTGGGGTTGGACCGTCAGTGGGAAAGGAGCATGTGAGCCTGGGCTTGGAGGATAAATAGGGGTTATAGGAGAGGGTGACGGGAGGGATGACAATTTGGGATATGGAAACTTATCCTCGACGAACCGAACATGACGAGAGACATAAACTTTTTGAGACACGGGTTCATAACATTTATACCCTTTAGTGGTGGGGTGATATCCTAAGAAGACACAAGGAGTGGAGCGTGGTTGAAGTTTGTGGTGAGTGTAAGGGTGGAGCCATGGATAGACCAAGCAACCAAAGGCACGAAGGTGGGTATATGTAGGAGGACGGTTATAAAGAGTTTCAAAGGGAGATTTGTTTGAGAGAGTTTTTGTGGGCATACGGTTGATAAGATAGTTTGCTGTGGCAAAAGCTTCGACCCAAAAGGTAGTCGGGAGAGCAGAGTCGTATAGAAGAGAAACAACTGTTTCAATGAGATGACAGTGTTTCCGTTCAGCGACCCCATTTTGCTCAGGAGTGTAGGGACAAGAGGTGTGATGAAGGACTCCTAAAGTTTGAAGGAAAAGGCCAAAAGCGTTATTTACAAATTCTTTGCCATTATCACTTCGAAAAATTTTGATGTGAGAATTAAACTGAGTTTTAATCATTTTTTCAAAATTCACAAAAATAGAGTAAGCTTCAGATTTATGTTTTAGGGGATAAATCCAGGTAAATTTGCTGAAATCATCAACAAAAGAGATATAAAATCGAAAACCGCTACAGGAAGGAACAGAGGTGGGACCCCAAATATCAGAATGTATTAATTGAAAGGGCGCTGTGGCCTTATGTTCAGAGAATTCAAAAGGTAAACGACAGGACTTAGAGACATAACATGATTCACAATGTAAAGGCTCTGAAAACTGAAAACCTAAGGAAGACAAAATAGATTTGGCAATCGCAGGAGCTGGATGATCGAGTCTACGATGCCAAGTGGACTCTTGGATAGCTTGATACGCAACGGTTGGGAGTTTGGAAGGAAGTGTGTATAACCCATGCTCACAGAGGCCCTTGTACCGCACCTGGTTGGTAGGATTGTCCACTATCTGGAAATCGTTGGCATTGAAAACAAGAGTGCAGTTGTTATCTTTGGTAAATCGATGGACAGACAATAGATTGGAGGTAAGGGAAGGGACATAATGAAGAGTAGAAAGGTGGTATTTACCATTAGGAGTATGGACAAAACCTGAGCCAGAGTGTGTGATGGGTAGGGATTGACCATTGCCTACGGTAATAGCATCAGTACCGGTGTATTGATGAGGAGATTGTAGCTGAGAATAATCAGACGTGACATGGGTGTTGGCACCAGTGTCCAGATACCAGTTTCCAGAATGATTACTCGTAGATGCATGCATTGCACGGGGAGCACT